TTTTTTTTAAACAGATCTTTTAAACTGTCAGATTCTTATAGATTTCATTCATAATATTTAAGGCCAATATATTCAAATATGGCACCATGGAAAGGTGAGATAAATGTTGAATTGTAAAATTAGTATTTTATGAACAAAATATTTGACTGCCTACATTTGTAGCTAAAATTTTTCCCTTTTCAACTACCACATCAGCCAGCATTTTTAAAGAAATCTTAAAGAGAATAGATTCCTACCATTTCTATCAACTTTGCCTTAGACAAGAATCCAGTTTAACCTTCCTTTGCCTCACCAGACCTATTGCAAATGTAAATATCTGTGGCAAAATATGCATAAAATTTTCATTTCAATTTCTTTACAAAAACTGTCATCTCATAGATAAAGCCTTGGCCAATTTAATTCCCAATCAATGGAATTGCCCTACACTATCGAGAAATGTTCTGTAGAAGGAAAGTATTTATTCTAGTGAATACACGTTGGACTCATTAATTTGAATCACAGAGTTGGGGCTTTCTATTCAAGTACAAGTACTATAATATACAAAAGTTCTATTTCACACAAAGTACTGGATTATCAAAATACAATCAATGTCAAAGAAACTTATTTCACTTGCAAAAATATCTAAAAAGTCCATCTAAATTACAGTAAATAATTGGTAAAAAACTAAATTTTAAAAATATAACCAGTACTAAAATTATTAAAAGTCAAGGTATGAAAAATTACCAAGTAATTCATGAAACATTTGAAATGATATTCAGGATAAAAATAAAGATGTGCATTAACAAGAGAAATGTCACTTAAAAATAAATCAGACTTCAGAACCAAAAATTGGGAGTTGAAGAGTTTTCATCATATATTCACTAGTGTTTCTAATGCTTAGTTCACTTTGTCACCAGTAAGAAAAAGCATTAAAACAGAGGAAGGCTTCCCTCTTAAAAAATGAAAAAGTAAAAAGAGCATCAGAGTGACAAGTTCCTTGGGGCATAATCTCGAGACTGTTCCATGTCACCAAATGGATTTGTTCTCTTTGTCCTTAAGTCTAATGACTGCCTTGTCACACGTTTGTCATGCCATAATATCTGTCACGTCCTGACATGCCGTGTCAATTTTCCGACCTCCTATATGATTTTTTTTCTTAAATCATAAATAAACTTAATGACAAAAATAATTTTATTTTAGTAACTGAGATCTTGCTGAAAGAAAGTTGGCAAATAGAAATACATGAATGAATACTATTTATACACATAGGATTTCAATACTGGACAAATGCAGGAATTCTGATAGTAATCCATCTCATTGTAAATTATGTGTAATCCTAATATTTTTTGTTATAAATTTACCAAAGAAAATTATGCAAATTCTTTGGTTGATCACGAAGAATAATGTTCAGTGACGGAACTAGGAAATATAACATTAAAAAACACCCTACTAAATTAGTAATTTCAATTTTATTAGTCTGTATTTATGGGTTAAAATATGTTGATTTCATCAACAATCTATAAACTTACTATTTAGAGAGCTAATTACTGTATGTGAATAATGTTAGCATGAAATTTCTAAATGTTTCCATTTAATATCCAGCGTTAAATTCAACAACCGAATGCATCAACTAGAATATTTTAATTTATTGTTTCCATACTCCTTAGGTAGCTTAATATCTCCATGTATGAATGATAATTTATGCAATGTACCAGTCCAAAGTACCATCAGCAAACTATAAAGTTCAGTTCCCTGATTAAGTTTATTATAAAGGTTATTTTGTATAGACAGATTTTTTAAATTTGGAAGGCTTTCTCCAATTCAAGCAAATAAATGAAAATTAGAAATTTAAACATCAATATGGTAATACTAAATAATTATTAATTTTAATTAGATAAATTAGTAATGGTTTAAGAACTAGAGAAGAAAATTTTAAAGCTGATTTAGTATTACATTTTTTAAAAATATACTTATTTATTTTATTTTTGGCTGCACTGGGTCTTTGTTGCTGCTCGCGGGCTTTCTCTAGTTGCAGCGAGCGGGGGCTACTCTCCATTGCCGTGTGCAGGCTTCTCATTACGGTGGCTTCTCTTGTTGCGGAGCATGGGCTCTAGGCACATGGGCTTCAGCAGTTGTGGCACACGGGCTCAGAAGTTGTGGCTAGTGGGCTCTAGAGCACAGAGCTCAGTAGTTGTGGCGTACAGGCTTAGTTGCTCCATGGCATGTGGGATCTTCCTGGACCAGGGCTCGAACCCGTGTCCCCTGCATTGGTGGGCGGATTCTTGACCACTGTGCAGCCAGGGAAGCCCTAGTATTACATTTTTAAATTAAATTCTCTTTAGAGGTCTTGGATAAGACGTGGACGTTTTATTATATTATTTAGCTTATATTAATTACTTGATGGAGTCTTGCCAATATAAAAACCAATGGGTCCCTCACATTCCACCCTTCCACATCCCCAAGTGACCACTGATATGCTTTCTATCGCATAGATGTGTTTGCATTTTTCTAGAAATTTATATAAAGGGATTCACACAGTGAGGACTCTTTTATCTGGCTTCTTTCACTCAATGAAATGAGAGTAATTCATATTTTTGTGGGTATCAATAGTCTATTACTTTGTTTTGCTGAGTAGGGTTTCACTGTATGAGTATACAACTTGAGCATACAACATGAGTATGTTTATCCATTCGCCTGTTGATGGGTGCTCGAGGTTGTTACAATTCTGTCTACTAAAAATAAAGATGCTATGATGATCCATGTTAAAAAAAAATACCAATGGGATTCAATGTTCTGGTTACAAAACGACTTTAGACATTTTTCTGACTATTATCATTGTTTTTGCTTAATATTATGTCCGAATAAGTGTATTTACATATTTTATACACTGCTCAATAAAAATCTCACTTTTCCTCATGACCATTACATTGGTAAGTTACAATTATGTCTAAATTCCCTGTGGGAACTGATACTATTGAAAAGTCAGCTGATATCTACAGTGAAAGCTTTAGTCTCTTCTAGATAAATTGTCTAGTCTTTAATCTTCTGTTTAGACTAACTTTATTTCTCCAGACAGTACAAATTTATTTTCTCAGTAGACCTTTAAGCTAATTGAGAACTATTTTACAAATAAAGATATTGAATATTTTATACAATTTCTGTTTTGCTGACAAAGTACTTTTTATTTTAATAGCTTTGTTCTTTCAAAATAATGACCTGTATTCACTTGTAAATATCAGACTATATTGTAATGTCACTATTTAAAACACAAATTTCAAAAAACTGCATCTTCACACATCAACAATTGAAAAAATACATTGAACTCACGACCTTGCTTAACTTTTCTCGTCATTTTCCCAATTTTGTTAATAACTCATAAACATTTTCCCAACAGAGAAAATCTCAGTCATTTTTTATTATACCATGATGACAACCACTAACACCAACAATAGCCTGGAAAGATTCAGTAGAATTACTCATTTGGCAATCTCCCAGCATCGGTAGTTTCTGCAACATTTATCTTACGAAATTTAACAAAACATGATGTTCAAAGATCAACTTTGTCAGAAAGGGGAGAAAAATTGCCAAGGTTTCTCAAATGTTGAAGCAATATCTACCTTCTGAGCAAATACCATATATGTTGATTGGACAGTTCTGTTTCACAGTACCTAGTACAGATCGCTTTAGAAACACTTTTGTAATGTTAAGCGAAAAAGAAATTTTGTGACGTTAGGGTATACAGGAAGTGGTAGATACAAGCACATTTGAAAGCTAACAGCACCTATTAATCTTAAACTAGCCTGTTACTCTTCCAAAGATTAAAAATTATCCCCTGGTAATCAGTAATATACTTAAAGATGAGTTACCCTTCCAGGCCACTGATGCAGGTTTATATATAAATGCAGTGGCCTGGAAGAATTGGAGTCAGAAGAGTACACAATACTAAGCATCATTCCACATAAGACTTTAAATAAAAGGATAAATTGCTCTGTTTATTTTACTGTGCAAAGAGGACATCCTACCCTTGTATTTTCTGATAATTGCATAGTAGCTAAGTTCAGTTGCACAAAGCACATGTAGATTTTATCTTTCCACGAAGAATGATTTTTGCCCAAGTGTACGGAATACTCCAAAGAAGAACATACACAGATGTGACTGAACCCAGAAAGGCTCGTTAAGTGAACAGTGTGTGTTGTATATAGGAATTGGGCTATCCCTTACCCACAGTCCTTTCCAGTTCATGGGCTTCAGAGTTTATGTTAAAAATAGAAGATTTTGTATTACACATGAAAGAAAGTTTAAAATATCTATGTGAAACAAGACTAAAGAGACCTCAGCATTTACACTTACAGTTATTAGTAGTGCAATTTCTTAAAACTGAATACTTAAAGTGATCATCTGCATTATTCCCTCTATCAAAAGTTGAACTCTCTTCTATCTTTTTAAAATTTCTGCCCCAAACAGTCACCAACGACAGCAAGACCCTAAGGGCACCTTGGCACAAAATCCGAAAACACCAAAAAACAAAAACAAAACAAAACTCACTCCTGATGCCTTGCAAGCACCAAACAGTCAAACTGAAATCATTTTCTCCATTAAAAGTTTCCACTTTGTCAACCAGAACTCATGCAATGGAATTCCCTTTACCTAAGCACCAACACTGAGTATCATGGTCCAACAATAATTTTAAGAAAACATGTCTGCCTTAAGAATTAATTCTTCACAGAAAAGGAGCTCTATCAATTAGTATTCTAAATTCTCAAAACGTCTCTACCACATGTCAAAAGAAAAGCCACTCTTCCAATCAAAATTTCTACCAGTAAAGGAAAATCGTCAACACACGTTTTGTGCTAGGATGTTGGACCACTGTAGTAAATGGTGTTCTCCCATCAACAAAGCACAGAAGTCAGACGTTTGCACCACTAAACCACCTCTGAAATAACAGCTTCCGTTTGCATGAAAATCTTCAGTGTGAGGTCATCTGGACAGTGGGTGTGTACAGTGCACAAGGCGCATCCTACCTTCATACAGAGCTTTGAAGCCCTGGGCACTCACGGCGAAGTCTGTCGTGAACCACAGAGTAAGGATGGAGCCGGTGCTGACGATGCAGGAAGGAAGCTGAAATCCCGACAACCTAAATTTCAAAAAGAGGTTAACACAGTCAAAAAGCATGAACTTGTTATTGAAGCTTATTTGATGAAGTCAATCAATTCCTCTTTCCACTGTGGCCTGTTTATTTGACATAAGTCACTGAACAATTACATGATCCATATACCAGGTGTTGCCAGGTAATTGAAATGAAGCATTTTCAAGGAGCAGAGTTTGCTTATTTAAACACTTTTTGAAAAGATTTTTTTCTTGAAGGACATGTACCATACACCATTGTCTAAAGAGAGCCCACAGAACTTACAACAATGCAGTCATCCTTACACCTGCTATGCGAAACAATGTAACACTGCATGTGCTTTTGAGTTTATTTTTCTCTTAACTTATTAGATAGTGTGCTGTCACAGCTCATCATTAATGTGCTTATTCTTACTATCTTCCCACCCCCCAATAAATCGGTTTCTCTTGAAAAGAAAACAAATCCTAGTCACGTCAGAAATAAAAATCAATGACTACCTTGAGCTCAGGTCAAATGAATTGATTTTGATATTTGGTTTTCAAGACAAATCTTTTGGATTTTAAGATACGTGTTTCAATTATAACTAGGTTGGGATATATTAAGAAATCTTAATGATGAGAAAGAACTCTGAAGGAATGAACTAGTATAATAATATGTAAAATATAATGCTTTACAAACAAATAGCTTTTCTAAAGGTTAAAGAGATGCTTCAATTTATATCTTAATTAAAGTTTACTAATTAAATAGTTTGTCTACAGTTGCATGGTTTAGTGTAGTCTGAACACAAACTTCTGACTCAAATAAAAAGAAAAAAAATCAACCTGAACATTCATTTCCAGGGGGAGAAACTCTGTCTTGCCAGTAAGTCTATGGTATTAAAGGCCTAATTACAACCACTGTAGTTGCAGAATCAAACCAGAAACTAATAAGAGAAAAATGACAGGACAATTGTCAACCAGCAAACACTTCTAAATAATCCATGGATCAAAGAAGTCTCAAGGGAAATTTTTAAAAGTACATTAAACTGAATGAAATATAAACACAAGATATCAATAGCTGTAGGACTCAGCTAAGCAGTACTGAGGGGGAAGTTAACAGCACTGAAAACATACATTAGGAAAGAGGAAAATTCTCATATGTGTAATCCAAGCTCCCATCTCAAGAGCTTAGAAAAGGGAAAGTAAAATAAACCTAAAGCAAGAAGGCAAGAAATTACAGATAAATGCCAAAATCAATGGAAATGAAAACAGAAAAGCAATGAAACAAAGCCTAATTCTTGGAAAAGATCAACAAAATTAACACATGTAGCAGAAATGACCAAAAAAAGAGGAGGATAAGAATAAATAGAGATAAGAATAGGGATAAGAATAAAGAGGGGGATTAGATAAATATCTAATAACAGGAATAAAATATTACTAGAGACCCCACAGATATGAAAAAAATGCTCTAAAAACTACACCCATAAATTTGACAAAAGTGAAACTGCTTACTTCCTTAAAACACACACACACAACGAATGACCACAACTTACTCGATGAAACAGAAAATGTGAATAACATTTACATTACATTTAATGTAATGTAACATTTAATAGTTACACTATAACTATTAAAACTCCCCTGAAAGAAAAGTCCAGGCCCAGGTGGTTTTACAGAAGAATTCTTCTGCCATGGACTGAATGTCTGTGTCACCCCAAAGTCATATGTTGAAACCTAATCCCCACCATGATGGTATTTGGAGGTAGGGCCTTTGGGTGGTGATTAGATCATGAGGGCAAAGTATCCTTATAAAAGCGACTCCAGAGAGCTCTCTCGCCCCTTCTGCCATGTGAGGACACAGCAAGAAGACACTATCTCTGAACAGAAAGCAGGCCTTCAGCAGACACTGAAACAGCGGGCACCTTGACCTTGGACTTCCCAGTCTCAAGAACCACACGAGAGAAGTTTTTGTTTTTTTATAAGCCACCCAGTCTATGGTATCTGTTATACGTACTAAGGCATTTACCTAAATGCACCGAGACATCTACCAAACATGCAAAGAATTAACAATTTTACGCAATCTCTTCCAGAAAACAGAAGTGGATAAAACACTTCCTTATGCATTTTATGGCACCATTATTACTCTGTGCTATGGACTGAATTGTTGCTTCCAAAATTTGCATGGTGAAGCCCTAACTCAATGTAACTGTATTTGTCATTTCTTTATTTTTTCAATTTTCATTGGCATATAGTTGATTTACAGTGTTGTGTTAAAGTGAATCAGTTTATTTGTAGATATGGATATGGATATATATATCTATCTCCATTCTTTTTCAGATTATTTTCCCATACAGGTTATTACAGAATATTGAGTAGAGTTCCCTGTGCTGTACAGTAGGTACTAGTTATCCATTTTATGTATAGTAGTGTATATATGTTCATCTCAATCTCCTAATTTATCACTTTCCCCCACATTTCCCCTTTAGTAACCATAAATAAGGCTTTTAGGAGGTAATTAAGATGAACTAAGTTCGTAAGGATGGGATGCTAAACCAACAGGACTGGTGGCCTTATAAGAAGAGGACAAAGAAGAACTCTCTCTCTCTCTTCCGTTTCCTCCGACGCTGCCACATGCCTGCACTAAGAAAAGGCCCTGTGCTCGCACACCCAGAAGACAGGGGTCTACGAACCAGGAGAAGAGTCTTCAGGAGAACCTGACCATACTACAACCCTAATATCAGAGTTTTAGCCTCCAGAAATGTGAGAAAATACATTTCTATTGTTTAAGCCACCCAATTTATAGTATTTTGTTGTGCAGACCAAGCTAACACCCCTTGTTACCAAAGACAGACAAAGGCAGCACCAAAAAAAAAAAAAAAGAAACAGACCAGTATCCCTCATAAATACAGATATAAGAATCCTTAACAAAATAAGAGAAAACAGAAGTAAGCAATAGATAACAGTTATTCAATAAGGCCAAGGGGTGTTTATTCCAGGAATGTAAACACAGTTCAGTATTTGAAAATCAATCAACGTACTCTGCCATAATAACTAGCTACAGAATAAAATCACAAGATTGTAATATTCTATGTAGGAAAAAGCATTTGACTAATTTAAGCATCCAATCATGAGAAAAACTTTCAATAAAATATGAATGGAGTGGGCTTCCCTGGTGGCGCACTGGTTGAGAGCCTGCCTGCCGATGCAGGGGACACGGGTTCGTGCCCCGGTCCGGGAAGATCCCACATGCAGCGGAGCGGCTGGGCCCGGGAGCCATGGCCATTGAGCCTGAGCGTCCGGAGCCTGTGCTCCGCAACGGGACAGGCCACAACAGTGAGAGGCTCACATACCGCAAAAGAAGAAAAAAACATCAATGGAGGAAAACTTCCCCAACTTGACAATGAGTACCTGTAAAAAAAAAAAAAAAAAAAAAAAAACCTACATCTAACATTATACTTATTGGGGAAAGACTGAATGCTTCTCCCTAGGATTGAGAACAGGCAAAAAGGTATGGTTTCACCACTTTTTATTCAACATTATGCCAGAGGATCTAGCCAGTGCAATAAGCCAAGTAAAAGAAATAAATGCATACAGATCAGAAAGGAAAACATAAAATTGACTCTATTTGCACAATTAGCTACACAGATTATGCCAAGGAATCTATAAGAAAGCTCCTAGAGTTAATACCTGAAATTAGCAACTGCCCAGGATATACAATGAACATACAAAATTCAATTTTATTTATACATGCTAGCACTGAACATGTGGACACCAAAATTAAAGATACAATGCCATTTACAATCGCCAAAAGAACACGTAGATATAACAGGTACAAAACTGTGTCCTGAAAACTGTATAATGCTGAAGAAAGAAATGAATGAAAAATTAAATAGAGCAATATACCATGTTAATAGACTGGATGACTCAACACTGTAAAGATGTCGATTCTCCTCAGACTTATATGTAGGTTTAAGACAATTTCTATCAAAATCCCAGCAAGATTTTTTTTAGACACAGACAAGATTCTTGTAAAATTTAAATGGAAAGCCAAAAAAAAAAAAAACCAGAATGGCTTAAATAATTTTGAAAAAGGATAAAATAGGAGGAATCAGTACACCTGTTTTCAAGGCCTATTTTGTAGCTACAGTAACCAAATCCACGTGGTACTGGCAGAGGGACAGACCAATCCATCAGTGTATCAAAACAGAGAAGTCAGAAACAGACTCATGTAAATATGCCCAAATAATTTTTGAAAAGGTGCAAAGGCAACTCAGCGGAGCAAAGAAAGCCTTTCAACAAATGGCGCTTAAACAACTGGAAGTCCACAGGCAAAAACAACCAAAAAAGAGCCTAGACCAAAGTCTAGCACCCTAGAGAATAGTTAAGTCAATATGGGATCACAGACAGAAACGTAAAATGTAAAAATATACAACTTTTAGGAGAAATTATAGGGGAAAATCTTTAGGATCTTGGAGTAGACAAAGAGTACCTAGGACACCAAAAGCACAATCCATAAAAGAAAAAAGTGATAAACATTAAAACCATTCGCTCTGTGAAGTACCCAGTTAAGAAATGAGAAGACACGCTACAGACTGCTAAAAAATGTCTGCAAACCACGTATCTGACAAGGACATGTGTCTAGAATATATTAAAAAAAAACTTTAAAGATTCAACAGCAAAAGAACAAATATTGTAATTAGAAAACAGGCAAAAAACAAAGTGTTATTTCATCTAAAAGGATATACAGATGGCAAATAAGCACATGAAAAGATGTTCAACACCATCATTCATTTGGGAAATGCAAATTAAAACCGAAAAGAAATATCACCACACACCTATTCAGAACGGCTAAAATGAAAAACAGCGACAATGCCAAATACTGGCTGGAATGTGGAGAAAATGGATTGCTCATATATCGCTAGTGGGCAGAACCACTTTGGAAAATAGTTTGACAGTTTCTTAAAAAATTAAACATGCGAACAGTATGAAGTTTCCTTAAAAAACTACAAATAGAACTACCATTTGACCCAGCAATCCCACTACTGGGCATAGACCCTGAAGAAAATCATAATTCATGTACCAAAATGTTCATTGCAGCTCTATTTACAATAGCCAGGAGACGGAAACAACCTAAGTGTCCATTGACAGATGAATGGATAAAGAAGATGTGGCACATATATACAGTGGAATATTACTCAGCCATATAAAGAAATGAAATTGAGCTATTTGTAATGAGGTGGATGGACCTAAAGACTGTCATACACAGTGAAGTAAGTCAGAAAGAGAAAGACAAATACTGTATGCTAACACATATATATGGAATTTAAGAGAAAAAAAAAATGTCATGAAGAACCCAGGGGTAAGACGGGAATAAAGACACAGACCTACTAGAGAATGGACTTGAGCATATGGGGAGAGGGAAGGGTAAGCTGGGACAAAGCGAGAGAGTGGCATGGACATATATACACTACCAAACGTAAAACAGATAGCTAGTGGGAAGCAGCCGCACAGCACAGGGAGATCAGCTCCGTGCTTTGTGACCACCTAGAGGGGTGGGATAGGGAGGGTAGGAGGGGGGGAGATGCAAGAGGGAGGAGATAGGGGAACATATGTATAACTGATTCACTTTGTTATAAAGCAGAAACACACCATTGTAAAGCAATTATACTCCAATAAAGATGTAAAAAAAAAAAAATTAAACATGTGATTATCAGATGATGGGCAGTATTTACCCCAGAGAAATGAAAATTTATGCTCACACAAAACCTGTACAAGAATATATATGAATATATATACGTATACATATATATATACACATAAACATACACTTAATAATCAAAAACTGGAAATAACTCATATATCTCTCAAGAGGTGAATGATATACAAACTGTGGAATATCTATACCATGTACTACTATTACTCAAAAATAAAGAGAAATGAACTATTGATTTATAATACCTGGATGAGTCTCCAGAGAATTATGCAGAGTGGCAAAAAGGCAATCTGAAAGAGATTACATACTGTATGACTTTAAGATTCTTGAAATGACAAACTTATTGAAAAGGAGAACAGGTTATTTGTTGCCAAGAGCTAAGCAAGGAGTTGGGACAGGAGGGAGGTGGGCGTGGCCATAAAAGGACCACATGAGGGAATCTTACGTTTTGTGTCTCGACAGTTTCAGTGTCGCTTTCCTGGCAGTGTCCCGCTATTACCGTTTTGTAAGATGTTACCTTTCGAGAAACTGGGTGAAGAATACTGAAAATCTGCGTTATTCCTTCCTGCTGCATGGAAATCTATGATTTTCTCAAATTTAAAAGTTTAATAAAACAATAGATTGGAGGGCTTGGGATGGAGGCACTCCAGAAAATATATACAGATTAAAATCATCAAATCAGTACAAAAACACAGTATTTGATAATAAAACACTCTCTCATTAGATTCAAAACTTAACTGAACAAAAAAATGTTGATTATTTAGTGTAGTCCGTTTTGAAGTTTTAATATTTATTACCAGAAGTTTAGATATCAAATAATGTGGTAGCACTTTAAAATAAACACACATTCATGTTTTCTTTAATGCACTTTAAAAAGAATCATGAATAGGAAGGGAAAAGTCAAACTATTATCTCAGAAAAAAAGTAACAAGATACTAAGAGTTGTAAAAACAATGTTATATGACTACTATTTGGAAGTTTGGGGAAGTTCAACATACACAATGGTAGATAAAATATATACAAGTTGGGGCTTCCCTGGTGGCGCAGTGGTTGAGAGTCCGCCTGCCGATGCAGGGGACGCGGGTTCGTGCCCCGGTCCGGGAAGATCCCACATGCCGCGGAGGGGCTGGGCCCGTGAGCCATGGCCGCTGAGCCTGCGCATCCGGAGCCTGTGCTCCGCAACGGGAGAGGCCACAGTAGTGAGAGGCCCGCATACCAC